TGTATCTAGTGTATTAATACACACTGTTCATACTGCTTACAGGCTGCTGTGTGTATCTAGTGTATTAATACACTGTTCATACTGCTCACAGGCTGCTGTGTATCTAGTGTATTAATACACACTGTTCATACTGCTTACAGGCTGCTGTGTGTATCTAGTGTATTAATACACTGTTCATACTGCTCACAGGCTGCTGTGTATCTAGTGTATTAATACACACTGTTCATACTGCTCACAGGCTGCTGTGTGTATCTAGTGTATTAATACACACTGTTCATACTGCTCACAGGCTGCTGTGTGTATCTAGTGTATTAATACACACTGTTCATACTGCTCACAGGCTGCTGTGTATCTAGTGTATTAATACACACTGTTCATACTGCTTACAGGCTGCTGTGTGTATCTAGTGTATTAATACACACTGTTCATACTGCTCTCAGGCTGCTGTGTGTATCTAGTGTATTAATACACACTGTTCATACTGCTCTCAGGCTGCTGTGTGTATCTAGTGTATTAATACACACTGTTCATACTGCTCACAGGCTGCTGTGTGTATCTAGTGTATTAATACACACTGTTCATACTGCTCACAGGCTGCTGTGTGTATCTAGTGTATTAATACACACTGTTCATACTGCTCACAGGCTGCTGTGTGTATCTAGTGTATTAATACACACTGTTCATACTGCTCACAGGCTGCTGTGTGTATCTAGTGTATTAATACACACTGTTCATACTGCTCTACAGGCTGCTGTGTGTATCTAGTGTATTAATACACACTGTTCATACTGCCTCACAGGCTGCTGTGTATCTAGTGTATTAATACACACTGTATCAGACTGCTACAGCTGCTGTGTGGATCTAGTGTATTAATACACACTGTTTACATGACTCACCAGGCTGCTGTGTATCTAGTGTATTAATATCACACTGTTTCATGACTGCTCTCTAGGCCTGCTGTGTGTATCTTAGTGTATTAATACACACTGTTCATACTGCCTCATCAGGCTGCTTGTGTATCTAGGTGTATTATACACACTGTTCATTACTGCTCATCAGGCTGCTGTGTGTATCTAGTGTATTAATACACACTGTTCATACTGCCACAGGCTGCTGTGTATCTAGTGTATTATACACACTGTTTCATACTGCTCTCAGGCTGCCTGTGTGTATCCCCTTAGTGTATTAATCCACACTGTTCATACTGCTTCACCGGTGCTGCTGTATCTAGTGTATAATACACACTGTTCATACTGCTCTCAGGACTGCGTGTGTATCTAGTGTATTAATACACACGGTCATACTGCTCATCAGGCTGCTGTTATCTAGTGGATTAATACACACTGTTCCATACTGCTCTCAGGCTGGCTGTTGTGTTATCTAGTGTCTTAATACACACTGTCATACTGCTCTACAGGTGCTTGCCTATCTAGTGTATTAATACACACTGTTCATTACTGCTCTCAGGCTGCTGTGTGTATTCTAGTGTATTAATTACACACTTGTTCATACTGCCTCACAGGCTGCTGTGTTATCTAGTGTATTAATACACACTGTTCATACTGCTCATCAGGCTGCTGTGTTGTATCTGAACTGTATTAATACACCACTGGTCATACTGCTCACGAGGACTGCTGTGCCTATCTAGTGTATTAATACACACACTGTTCATACTGCTCTCAGGCTGCCCTGGTGGTATCTAGTGTATTAATACCACAACTGTTCATACTGCTCATCAGGCTGCTGTGTGTCTCTAGTGTATTAATACACACTGTTCCTACTGCTCATCAGGCCTGCTGTGTGTATCTTAGTGTATAATTACCACCTGTTCATACTGCTCACAGGCTGCTGTGTGTATCTAGTGTATTAATACACACTGTTCATACTGCTCTCAGGCTGCTGTGTATCTAGTGTATTAATACACACTGTTCATACTGCTCACAGGCTGCTGTGTGTATCTAGTGTATTAATACACACTGTTCATACTGCTCTCAGGCTGCTGTGTGTATCTAGTGTATTAATACACACTGTTCATACTGCTCTCAGGCTGCTGTGTGTATCTAGTGTATTAATACACACTGTTCATACTGCTCTCAGGCTGCTGTTGTATCTAGTGTATTAATACACACTGTTCATACTGCTCTCAGGCTGCTGTGTGTATCTAGTGTATTAATACACACTGTTCATACTGCTCTCAGGCTGCTGTGTGTGTATCTAGTGTATTAATACACACTGTTCATACTGCTCTCAGGCTGCTGTGTGTATCTAGTGTATTACACACTGTTCATACTGCTCACAGGCTGCTGTGTGTATCTAGTGTATTAATACACACTGTTCATACTGCTCTCAGGCTGCTGTGTGTAGTAGTGTATTAATACACCTGTTCATAACTGCCTCACAGGCTGCTGTGTGTATCTAGTGTATTAATACACACTGTTCATACTGCTCACAGGCTGCTGTGTGTATCTAGTGTATTAATACACACTGTTCATACTGCTCACAGGCTGCTGTGTGTATCTAGTTGTATTAATACACACTGTTCATACGCTCTCAGGCTGCTGTGTGTATCTAGTGTATTAATACACACTGTTCATACTGCGTCTCAGCTGCTATCTAGTGTATTAATACACACTGTTCATACTGCTCTCAGGCTGCTATCTAGTGTATTAATACACACTGTTCATACTGCTCTCAGGCTGCTGTGTGTATCTAGTGTATTAATACACACTGTTCATACTGCTCTCAGGCTGATATCTAGTGTATTAATACACACTGTTCATACTGCTCACAGGCTGCTATCTAGTGTATTAATACACACTGTTCATACTGCTCTCAGGCTGCTGTGTGTATCTAGTGTATTAATACACACTGTTCATACTGCTCACAGGCTGCTATCTAGTGTATTAATACACACTGTTCATACTGCTCTCAGGCTGCTGTGTGTATCTAGTGTATTAATACACACTGTTCATACTGCTCTCAGGCTGCTATCTAGTGTATTAATACACACTGTTCATACTGCTCTCAGGCTGCTATCTAGTGTATTAATACACACTGTTCATACTGCTCTCAGGCTGCTGTGTGTATCTAGTGTATTAATACACACTGTTCATACTGCTCACAGGCTGCTGTGTGTATCTAGTGTATTAATACACACTGTTCATACTGCTCACAGGCTGCTGTGTGTATCTAGTGTATTAATACACACTGTTCATACTGCTCACAGGCTGCTGTGTGTATCTAGTGTATTAATACATACTGTTCATACTGCTCACAGGCTGCTGTGTGTATCTAGTGTATTAATACACACTGTTCATACTGCTCACAGGCTGCTGTGTGTATCTAGTGTATTCATACCCCTCACTGTTTATTCATCAATCAATTCATTCTATAGATCAGGGATGAGCAACTTTGATGGTGGGGGGCCACATCGTTGATGTACTGGCCACCAGGGGGCCGCAGATTCACTTGGAACACACACACACAACAATTCCATGTGTTGTATGTAATTATTAACAAATATACTAAGTCTGACATCTTCATTGACATTTTACAATCAAAGGGAACGTCCTCTAATAAGCCACTAAATAAATATCAGTTCACAGAAATGTTATTTCATTTTTACAAGTGGCATGTTTGTATTGAACAGGTTATTAAACAGTGGAATAAAACTATTTTAAACTATTGGAAAGCACGGAAAATGTGTGTGTATTGAGATGAACCATTAGATGACATACACATGTTGTCATGAACACTAACCCAGACATTAGTCACTAACTTGAACCTGAAACACTTGTAGCCAGTCTCTGCATTCCCCTTATTCCACACTGAGGGGAATGTCCACACCGACACCTGTCAGCCCGCACTCTGCTGTTCCTCAGCGCCGAAGGGTTAACCCTAACCCTAGCCAAAAAACCGAGAGAAGAAGAAGACGAAGCCGACTCCGAGCTGTCCGACTTCAGGCGAGCTTTCTGAGACCTCCCCCGGCTGCGATCGGCTATTCTCGTCTACTCTCGAGGCGAGCCGCAACGCGTCTCAAACAAGCCTAGTCAGTCACATGATGGGTCAGTCAGTCACATGACGGGTCAGTCACATGACGGGTCAGTTACATGACGGGTCAGTCAGTCACATGATGGGTCAGTCAGTCACATGACGGGTCAGTCACATGACGGGTCAGTCAGTCACATGATGGGTCAGTCAGTCACATGACGGGTCAGTCACATGACGAGTCAGTCAGTCACATGACGGGTCAGTTAAATGACGTGTCAGTCAGTCACATGACAAGTCAGTCAGTCACATGACGGGTCAGTCAGTCACATGACGAGTCAGTCACGTGACGAGTCAGTCACATGACGGGTCAGTCAGTCACATGACGGGTCAGTCAGTCACATGACGGGTCAGTCAGGGTCAGTCAGTCACATGACGGGTCAGTCAGTCACATGACGGGTCAGTCAGTCACATGACGGGTCAGTGAGTCACATGACGAGTCAGTCAATCACGTGACGAGTCAGTCAATCACGTGAGGAGTCAGTCAGTCACGTGAGGAGTCAGTCAGTCACGTGAGGAGTCAGTCAGTCACATGACGGGTCAGTCAGTCACATGACGGGTCAGTGAGTCACATGACGAGTCAGTCAATCACGTGACGAGTCAGTCAGTCACGTGAGGAGTCAGTCAGTCACATGACGGGTCAGTCACATGACGGGTCAGTCAGTCACGTGACGAGTCAGTCAGTCACGTGAGGAGTCAGTCAGTCACGTGAGGAGTCAGTCAGTCACGTGAGGAGTCAGTCTGAGGAGTCAGTCAGTCACGTGAGGAGTCAGTCAGTCACGTGAGGAGTCAGTCAGTCACGTGAGGAGTCAGTCAGTCACGTGAGGAGTCAGTCAGTCACGTGAGGAGTCAGTCAGTCACGTGAGGAGTCAGTCAGTCACGTGAGGAGTCAGTCAGTCACGTGAGGAGTCAGTCAGATGACTCCTATATTTATACATAATCTTTATACTGACGGGTCGATGGGCAGCGGCTCCTTGGCGGCGTCGGCCAGCTCCTTCTGCAGCTTAGCCTGTCTGCGCCTACACACACACACACACGCACACAAAAGGAGTGTAATTATCATTGTGGCCATAAGGCTGCAGGAGTGCGTGTGTAAAAGGAAATGCTCATTAATGCTCAATATCAAACGTGATGAAACTACTCTATAAATCTATATATGGAAAGGCATTTCATGATATTGCGATATATATTGTGCATTGTGATATATAACATGTATCGTGATATGTATTGTGTCGTGATATATACCGTGATATGTATTGCGATACATAGTGTGATATGTATTGTGTATCACGATATATAGTGTGATATGTAGTGTGTACCGTGATACAGTGTGATATGTATTGTGTATCGTGATATATAGTGTGTATCGTGATATACAGTGTGATATGTATTGTGTATCGTGATATGTATTGTGTATCGTGATATATACCGTGATATGTATTGTGTATCGTGATATATACCGTGATATGTGATATATACCGTGATATGTATTGTGTACCGTGATATGTATTGTGTATCGTGATATATACCGTGATATGTATTGTGTATCGTGATATGTATTGTGTATCGTGATATATACCGTGATATGTATTGTGTACCGTGATATAGTGTGATATGTATTGTGTATCGTGATATATACCGTGATATGTATTGTGTATCATGATATGTATTGTGTATCGTGATATATACCGTGATATGTATTGTGTACCGTGATATGTATTGTGTATCGTGATATATAGTGTGTATCGTGATATACAATGTGATATGTATTGTGTATTGTGATATGTATTGTGTATCGTGATATATAGTGTGTATCGTGATATACAATGTGATATGTATTGTGTATCGTGATATATACCGTGATATGTATTGTGTATCGTGATATATAGTGTGTATTGTATCTCCTTGTACACAAACTCGCTCAGATCAGTCATTAGCCCGCATGGTTTTTCATACCACTGCTACGCTGACGACACCCAATTAATTCTGTCCTTTCCTCGCTCAGAGACCCAGGCCGTTGCGCGCATCTCTGCTTGTCTAGCTGACATCTCTCAGTGGATGTCTGATCATCACCTCAAGCTCAACCTTGACAAGACTGAGCTGCTCTTCCTCCCGGGAAAAGATTGTCCAACTCTTGACCTGACAATCAACATCGGCACCTCAGTTGTATCCCCGACTCAGACTGCAAGGAATCTGGGTGTGACCCTAGATAACAACCTGTCCTTCACTGCAAACATCGCTGCTACAACCCGCTGCTGCAGATACACGCTTTACAACATCAGGAGGATACGTCCCCAGCTGACCCAGAAAGCGACTCAGGTTCTGGTCCAGGCTCTCGTCATCTCACGCCTAGACTACTGCAACTCCCTCCTGGCTGGTCTACCTGCATGTGCCATCCGACCTCTGCAGCTCATCCAGAATGCAGCGGCTCGTCTGGTCTTCAACCTTCCTAAATTCTCCCACACCACTCCGCTCCTCCGCTCCCTTCACTGGCTTCCGGTAACTGCTAGAATCCACTTCAAGACACTGGTACTTGCGTACCATGCTGCGAATGGATCTGGCCCTTCCTACATCCAGGACTTGGTTAAACCGTACACCCCAGCGCGTGCACTACGCTCTGCATCAGCCAAACGACTCGCTGCGCCCTCGCTGCGAGGGGGACCCAAGTTCCCATCGGCAAAAACACGTGGGTTTGCTGTCCTGGCTCCAAGATGGTGGAATGAGCTCCCCATTGACATCAGGACAGCAGATAGCTTACACACCTTCCAGACTGAAACTCATCTCTTTCGACTCCACTTCGAGCGTTAGAACTATTAACAAAGCACTTTTATACTAATAAAGGACTGGCTTACCTAAAGCCAGTTGAGTAGCACTTGAAATGTTTTGGCTCTATGAAACCTGATGTACTTTATGATTCTGTTTTCTTCAAGGTTGTATTTTGTTGGTCGAATGTACTTATTGTAAGTCGCTTTGGATAAAAGCGTCAGCTAAATGTAATGTAATGTAATATGTATCGCGATATACAGTGTGATATGTATTGTGTATCGTGATATACAGTGTGATATGTATTGTGTATCGTGATGTATAGTGTATCGTGATATATAGTGTGATATGTATTGTGTATCGTGATATATAGTGTATCGTGATATATAGTGTGATATGTATTGTGTATCGTGATATATAGTGTATTGTGATATATAGTGCGATATGTATAGTGCATCGCGATATATAGTGTATCGTGATATGTAGCGTGATATGTATAACGATATATATTGGGTATCGGCATATATATCTATCCTGCATAGTGATATAAATCGTGTTTCGTGATATACATTGTGTATCGTGATATATATCGTGATATGTATAGTGTGTTCCATAGTGTATCGTGATATAGCCATAACATCATCTCGACCAGCACTAATAACAAGGTGTCCCTCAGTGTGTCTCACCTGGTGTCCCTCTGTGTGTCTCACCTGGTGTCCCTCTGTGTCTCACCTGGTGTCCCTCTGTGTCTCACCTGGTGTCCCTCTGTGTCTCACCTGGTGTCCTTCTGTGTCTCACCTGGTGTCCCTCTGTGTGTCTCACCTGGTGTCCCTCTGTGTGTCTCACCTGGTGTCCCTCTGTGTCTCACCTGGTGTCCCTCTGTGTCTCACCTGGTGTCCCTCTGTGTGTCTCACCTGGTGTCCCTCTGTGTCTCACCTGGTGTCCCTCTGTGTGTCTCACCTGGTGTCCCTCTGTGTGTCTCACCTGGTGTCCCTCTGTGTGCCTCACCTGGTGTCCCTCTGTGTGCCTCACCTGGTGTCCCCTGTGTGTCTCACCTGGTGTCCCTCTGTGTGTCTCACCTGGTGTCCCTCTGTGTCTCCCCTGGTGTCCCTCTGTGTCTCACCTGGTGTCCCTCTGTGTCTCACCTGGTGTCCCTCTGTGTCTCACCTGGTGTCCCCTCTGTGTCTCACCTGGTGTCCCTCTGTGGTGTCTCACCTGGTGTCCCTCTGTGGTGTCTCATCACCTAGTGTCCCTCTGTGTGTCTCAGTGTCTCACCTGGTGTCCCTCTGTGTGTCTCACCTGGTGTCCCTCTGTGTGTCCTCACCTGGTGTCCCTCAGTGTGGTCTCACCTGGTGTCCCTCAGTGTGCCTCACCTGGTGTCCCTCTGTGTGCCTCACCTGGTGTCCCTCTGTGTGCCTCACCTGGTGTCCCTCTGTGTGCCTCACCTGGTGTCCCTCTGTGTGTCTCACCTGGTGTCCCTCTGTGTGTCTCACCTGTGTGCCTCACCTGGTGTCCCTCTGTGTGCCTCACCTGGTGTCCCTCTGTGTGTCTCACCTGGTGTCCTTCTGTCTCACCTGGTGTCCCTCTGTGTGTCTCACCTGGTGTCCTTCTGTCTCACCTGGTGTCTCACCTGGGTGTCCCTCTGTGTGTCTCACCTGGTGTCCCTCAGTGTGTCTCACCTGGTGTCCCTCTGTGTGTCTCACCTGGTGTCCCTCAGTGTGTCTCACCTGGTGTCCCTCTGTGTGCCTCACCTGGTGTCCTTCTGTCTCACCTGGTGTCCCTCTGTGTGTCTCACCTGGTGTCCCTTCTGTCTCACCTGGTGTCTCACCTGGTGTCCCTCTGTGTGTCTCACCTGGTGTCCCTCTGTGTGCCTCACCTGGTGTCCCTCTGTGTGCCTCACCTGGTGTCCCTCTGTGTGCTTCACCTGGTGTCCCTCTGTGTGCCTCACCTGGTGTCCCTCTGTGTGCCTCACCTGGTGTCCCTCTGTGTGCCTCACCTGGTGTCCCTCTGTGTGTCTCACCTGGTGTCCCTCTGTGTGTCTCACCTGGTGTCCCTCTGTGTGCCTCACCCGGTGTCCCTCTGTGTGTCTCACCCGGTGTCCCTCTGTGTGCCTCACCCGGTGTCCCTCTGTGTGCCTCACCTGGTGTCCCTCTGTGTGCCTCACCTGGTGTCCCTCTGTGTGCCTCACCTGGTGCCCCTCTGTGTGCCTCACCTGGTGTCCCTCTGTGTGTCTCACCTGGTGTCCCTCTGTGTGTCTCACCTGGTGTCCTTCTGTGTGCCTCACCTGGTGTCCCTCTGTGTGCCTCACCTGGTGTCCCTCTGTGTGCCTCACCTGGTGTCCCTCTGTGTGCCTCACCTGGTGTCCCTCTGTGTGCCTCACCTGGTGTCCCTCTGTGTGCCTCACCTGGTGTCCCTCTGTGTGCCTCACCTGGTGTCCCTCTGTGTGTCTCACCTGGTGTCCCTCTGTCTCACCTGGTGCCCCTCTGTCTCACCTGGTGTCCCTCTGTCTCACCTGGTGCCCCTCTGTCTCACCTGGTGTCCTTCTCGTTCTCAGCGTTCAGCTTGTTGGCCTCCTGGCTCTTCTCAGCCATCCAGCGGCAGACCAGCTCCTGATTGTCTTCGGATGTTTTCCTCAGCTTCTCCTCCAGAGCGCAGAAGGTGATCTGCAGGGCGTCGTACTCGTCCTTCAGCGTCTGATTGGCTCGCTCCAGGTCCTCATTAAACAACAACAATGCACCTTTTAATAATAAAACAAGTCCATTTGTCTGCAGCTCAGAGTCCCCAAAGTGTTAGATAGAGATGAAGGGGCTCAGGTGATGGGACATTTACACAATTAGCATCAATTAGCATTATATCTGTACTACAATTAATATCTTGGCAGATCTGGACAGTATCTTAGAGGTTCTGGGGGTTATTGAGGATGCTGAATCCATTTCTGACATTTCCAGGGTGATAAATATCAGTGTGAACCAGAAGAGGACAGATCTGTGGTCTCGCCTGGAGCATTGAGATCTGTTTGAGAGGAAGGGTCTCTGTAGATGTTCAGGCTAAATAATAAACGTTCATCAGTCTGGGGGTCTCAGGTTGAAAACTGGAGATCATGCCCCACCCCCCCCCCGGCCTCTCGCTGCGTGCTGATTGGTTCTGTTGGATGACATCATCACTGGGCGCCTGCAGGATCTCTGTACAGACTCGCTGTGATGTCACATCCTGTTTGTGATGTCACTTCCTGTCTCAGCAGCTGCTGGGACCATCATGCAGCACTAGAGCATGCTGGGAGCTGAGGCCGGCAGAGGGGATTGTGGGAAATCAGACCTTTTACTTATCATCACCGACCCCGTCTGATCGTCATTGCTCTGTTGCATTGTGGGAAACGTAGGCATGGGTTCCCTCAGGTATATTACTGTATTAGTCTTGCTCTGTTGCATTGTGGGAAACGTAGGCATGGGTTCCCTCAGGTATATTAATGTATTAGTCTTGCTCTGTTGCATTGTGGGAAACGTAGGCATGGGTTCCCTCAGGTATATTAATGTATTAGTATTGCTCTGTTGCATTGTGGGAAACGTAGGCATGGGTTCCCTCAGGTATATTACTGTATTAGTCTTGCTCTGTTGCATTGTGGGAAACGTAGGCATGGGTTCCCTCAGGTATATTAATGTATTAGTCTTGCTCTGTTGCATTGTGGGAAACGTAGATATGGGTTCCCTCAGGTATATTACTGTATTAGTCTTGCTCCGTTGCATTGTGGGAAACGTAGGCATGGGTTCCCTCAGGTATATTAATGTATTAGTATTGCTCTGTTGCATTGTGGGAAACGTAGGCATGGGTTCCCTCAGGTATATTACTGTATTAGTCTTGCTCTGTTGCATTGTGGGAAACGTAGGCATGGGTTCCCTCAGGTATATTAATGTATTAGTCTTGCTCCGTTGCATTGTGGGAAACGTAGGCATGGGTTCCCTCAGGTATATTACTGTATTAGTATTGCGGGAAACATAGGCATGGTGTATTATTCTGCGCACCTGCAGGAGGCCCCTGAGGTCCCGACAGTCCCCCTCCAGGCCGGAGATCTGCTGCTGGTACTGCAACATCCTACACACACACACACACAGGGATGGGAGGGTTACTTTGTAAATGTAATCAGTTACTGATTACTGAATACATGGCTCTGAAAGTAATCCGAATACAGTTAGAGTTACGTGTCTTAAAAAAGTAACGTAATCAGATTACTTTTAGATTACTTTTGGATTACTTTCTTTTTCCATCACAGATGGATGTGTTGGTGAACAGGAGACACAAAAAGCAAAAGGAAACTGAGCGTGTTTTACTGTTTTCATGGCGTATCAAGAGCACAACTGAAACATAGCATCTGAAACGATGCAACAACATAATACACTCTTTGGGGATGCAGCTTGGGATGTGAGGAGTGAGGACACGGCTTAGAACGGGCGTGTCGCCTTCTGTCCTGCCAGTGTTGGCAGGACATGAATTAAAATGTCGAACTCGGACTTCATTTTAAGGACATGTCGGCCAGGGGTGTAGAGCTATATTTGTTTAAGCACCGGATCGGCAAAACAGGAGAGTGTGTGCACCAGTCTGCCTTGATCTATGAATTAATGTCCGTGACTCTCACAGTATCTGCTGCCCGCAGCTGCTTTATAGAAGGAACACCTCCTTCACTTCATGACATCTCTGCAGCACCAGGAGGCAGCGGGAGGGTTCACTCAGCCTCTGAGAAGAGGAGCGCGCCGTGGCTTTCACGCACCGCCTTCACTGTGTTTACCTTCAGAATCATTAGAAAGGCTAAGGAGCGGTGTGTGTGTTTTAACCCCACACACACACACACACACACACACACACACACACACACACACACACACACCACACACACACACACACACACACACACACACACACACACACACACACACACACACACACACACACACACACACACACACACCACACACACACAGCACCACACACACACACACACACACACACACACACACACACACACACACCACAACACACAACACACACACACACACACACCCACCACACACACACACCACACACACACACACACACACACACACACACACACACACACACACACACACACACACACATCACACAACACACACACACACACGCACACACACACACACACACACACACACAGTGCCAGTGAGTGTGTGTGCGAGTGTGTAATGCTGCGTTCACACCGGACGCGATGCGAATATTCACATCGCTCTCATCGCTCGAGTTTCACCGCGGCTGCCAGCTGTGTTTACTCGCATCATTCAAACAAGACGCGCTGGCTCGGGGGCTACAACTACAACAAGATGAACATATCTGACCGTGATTTAATTGTAATACACGTTTAAAAATGATGCCGAAGTAACAACATACTGATACCGGTTAGTAAAAACCATGAATTAATGCTTTGAGTCTGCAGACAGAGGGCAGAGAAAACACCTTTTAAAATGCGTGTTTTCTAAATGGAGATCGGGTCGACCAGGCTAAGCTAACGTTGTATATGCTCATTCCACACTCACAACAACGGCCTACAGACATAAATAAAGCAGCGACTGTATTCGCCATGACACAGACAGGCTGTGGTTTGTACTTGTTTCACTTCTGTACAGTTTCTGAACTGATAAGGATTTCAAGATGGCGCCTGTGTCGGCTCGCCGCACCCTCAGCTCTCTGCCTTTCGCTATCCTGCTTTTGTTGTATGTTTGTCAGAATGTCTCTGCTCTGTTTGAATATGATCGCCAAGCTCTCCCCCCTCCCCCCCCCTCTACTGTCAGATATTCCCACCTACCTGCGCCGGTTGCCCTGCATCATCGAAAGCGCTTTAGGCGACGGGGAAAGCATGGTGGCGCGCTCGTCCATCAAAAAGCACACCTGATGGCATCTTCTGGGACTGATCCACGCCTCGGATGCCGTGGCCCTCCCGCTGCACGCCATCCGAGGGTTCGGTGGATTCGCCCTGTCTTCCCGGAGCTGCGGCCTCTGCTGGGCCCGCTGACAGCTCCGAGTATGTACCGTTTTCTGAACTTCTTCCTCCCGACTGTACTTTCTTCAGCTCCCCCCGTACCACCGGCCGTGGTGGGGGTATAGCTTCAGTGTTTAGAGCTAATCTCTAATGCCGATTGCTTCACCCAGTAACTAGCTATACGCTAGCTTCAAGTTGCAGCTTTTTGAGCTGAACCCGGCCTCGCCTATACTCTGCGCAGTCGTGTATCGTCCGCCAAAGTGCAATAATGATTTCATAACTGACTTCTCTGACTTTCTGTCCGGGATCATGTGAAATATGATTGTGTTTTGATCTGCGGAGACTTTAATGTCCATGTGTGCTGCGAGTCTAAACCTCTGGTTAGGGACTTTTTAAACCTCCTCGACTCTTTCGGTCTCATTCAGTCTGTGGCTGGCCCAACACACGATAAAGGAAACACCTTAGACTTAGTATTATCGTTTGGATTGTCTATCTCTGTGGATGAAATCTGTGCAGGAACGCGTATCTCAGAACATTTACCGGTTCTGTTTACAACCTCGATCCCTTCTGTAGGAGTCGAATCACGTGCTCCTGCGCGTTGTCTGCGTTCAATGAACCCCTTAACTGCCTCACAGTTTTCAGATGCTTTTAATACTTATCCGATCTGTAAATTAGAGGTGAACTGTGCTTTTAGTGCTGATGAGCTTATCTCCATGTTTGATTCGACTAATACTAATACTGGATTCCGTTGCTCCTTTTACGCTTAGACGCAACAAAGTTCTCTCAGAGCCGTGGCTCAACGATTGTACTCGCGCTCTTAGACACGCTTGTAGGCGTGCAGAGAGAAAATGGAAAAAGGATAAACTTCATGTCTCCTTAGAGATCCTTCGTGCTTGCCTCTCCGACTACCAGACGGCAGTCAAAGCCAAAACAGAGCACATTTCTCTGTTCATCTCCAAAAACAGCCATAAACCTCAAGTTCTTTTTAATGTCCTCGACTCGATCATTAATCCTTGTGATGCTTCTCCAATTTTGCCATCAACTACTCTTTGCGATACATTTCTTAAAACTTTTATCGAAAAAGTATCTGCTCTTAGGCTAGCCAACACTAGTGCTACCCCAGATCCTGCTCCCTTTCTGTGCCCTGCTGTCCTCGACCACTTTGAGCCTGTATCCCTCTCCTCTCTCTCAGAAGTAGTCAAGCACCTGCGGCCGACAAACTGCACCTCAGACAGCATTCCCTCTCGCTTCCTTAGAGATGTTTTCGAATCAGTTGGAGCAAGTGTTTTATTGCTTGTAAACACTTCTCTTAGCTCAGGATGTGTCCCAGCTGCCTTCAAACATGCCGTGGTCCAGCCACTACTTAAAAAGAAAAATCTCGATCCCTCCATTCTCGCAAATTTCAGGCCCATCTCCCAGCTACCCTTTTTATCTAAAGCCCTGGAGCGAGTAGTCTACGCCCAGTTGCAGTCGTTTTTAACCATGCATGGTATCCATGAAAAGTTTCAGTCTGGCTTTAAACCCATGCACAGCAATGAAACAGCCCTTTGAAGAGTTTAATGATCTGCTCTTAGCCGCCGACTCAGGCAGCCCAGCTGTCTTGGTGCTGTTAGACCTGACAGCTGCCTTTGACACTGTGGACCATAGCATCCGGTTGTCACGGCTTGAACAGTCCGCAGGCATCACAGGCTCTACTCTTACATGGTTCAGGTCCTACCTGACAGACCATAGCTTCTCAGTGCAGCTAGGTGCCTTCTCCTCTGCCAAAGCCCCTCTTACCTGTGGGGTACCCCAAGGCTCGATTCTGGGCCCCATCCTTTTTCTATTGTACATACTGCCCCTAGGCTCAATTCTCACAAAACACAATATCCCCTTCCATTGTTACGCTGATGATGTACAGATCTATCTGCCTCTCAATCAAAATGCCAACTCACTACAGCAGCTGAAGGACTGCTTAATAGAGATTAAATCCTGGCTGAGCCAAAACTTCCTCACTCTCAACGAGAGCAAGACCGAGGTCATCTTTTTTGGACCCCAATCTCCAGCCTCTCCGGTTGATATTCTGGGCTCCCTCAATAAAAACATCCTCCCATCTGTCATGAACCTTGGAGTGACCTTCAACAGCGCCTTTCAATTTGATAAGCAGGTTAGCACTGTAGTCAAGACCTGCTTTTTCAAAATACCACTATTGGCTAAGACCAAGTCGTTTTTATCTTTTAAAGACCCAGAAAGGGTTATTAACGCCTTTGTTACTTCGAGACTGGATTACTGCAACGCTCTGTATGTGGGTATGGACCAGGCCTCAATTACACGCCTCCAGCTAGTTCAGAACGCAGCTGCACGTCTTCTTACTGGCCATAAAAAGCGCGACCACATCACCCCAACTCTGGCCTCATTGCACTGGCTTCCAGTTCGGTTCAGAATAGATTTTAAACTCCTTTTATTTGTTTTTAAAGCCCTAAATGGGCTGGCTCCGGCCTATATAGCCGAACTCCTCCAGCGCTACACCCCAGGCAGAGCCTTAAGGTCGGCTGATCAGCTGCTGTTGATAGTGCCTAAGACCAGGCTTAAAACCCGAGGGCATGGAGCCTTCGCAGTGGCTGGCCCCAGGCTCTGGAATACTGGGGGTTTTAAATCAATACTTAAAAACTCACTTTTTCTCTTTGGCTTTTGTTAATTATCTATCTATTTATTTATTCATTTAGTTCTTTATTTTAATATTTATAACATAACATAGGATTTCATAAAGTATTTTTAAAATAGTTTATACATTATTCGAATATAGGAATAGTAGATAGGATTACTTAAAATATAGTACCTTATATTTCATCTTTTTTTCCCTTTAGACCCTTACCCACCCCCCATTTCCCCTCTGCTGGTCTATGGCCTTGTAGAGGGTAACGGTCCCCTCTGCTGGTCTATGGCCTTGTAGAGGGTAACGGTCCCCTCTGCTGGTCTATGGCCTTGTAGAGGGTAACGGTCCCCTCTGCTGGTCTATGGCCTTGTAGAGGGTAACGGTCCCCTCTGCTGGTCTATGGCCTTGTAGAGGGTAACGGTCCCCTCTGCTGGTCTATGGCCTTGTAGAGGGTAAAGGTCCCCTCTGCTGGTCTATGGCCTTGTAGAGGGTAACGGTCCCCTCTGCTCGTCTATGGCCTTGTAGAGGGTAACGGTCCCCTCTGCTGGTCTATGGCCTTGTAGAGGGTAACGGTCCCCTCTGCTCGTCTATGGCCTTGTAGAGGGTAACGGTCCCCTCTGCTGGTCTATGGCCTTGTAGAGGGTAACGGTCCCCTCTGCTGGTCTATGGCCTTGTAGAGGGTAACGGTCCCCTCTGCTGGTCTATGGCCTTGTAGAGGGTAACGGCCCCCTCTGCTGGTCTATGGCCTTGTAGAGGGTAACGGTCCCCTCTGCTGGTCTATGGCCTTGTAGAGGGTAACGGTCCCCTCTGCTGGTCTATGGCCTTGTAGAGGGTAACGAGGTACAGAGTCGCTTAGATAAGCGGGGGAGTGCATCTGACGCAGAGATAGGTTGTTGTGCTCCCTCTCTCTGTTTCTTATCTATATCTAATAGAACTGCTCGGGTCTTGATAGATTGAGTGGGGAAGTTCATGAGATCTTTCTAGAGGGTTATCAAGAATAACTTTTATCCAATGACCTTTCCCCTCTCTGTCTGTGTCTGTGTATTCTCTTGTTCCGATTAACCCAGCCAAATCTTTGTTCTTGTTTTGTATCTATATCTACGCCGGGATCCGGAATCGAGGCTGATCCTCTTGCTGTAGTCCTGTGTCTTGGATCCTCTATCCTGAGTTCTGGATTAAGTCGTGGACTTCGGGTCGTGGCTGAACCTGTCTCTGCGGTCCTGCCTTGGGTCTCGTCATGCTGCTTCCCTGATGGCTTCCACAGGATTGTAGCTGACATCCTCGTGGATTCATCTTCTTATTACAGACACATGCATTTCCTAACATTCGGTCTATATGCTGTAACATGTATTATCTCTTGGATTTACACACGGCATCTATTGCACGTCTGTCCGTCCTGGGAGAGGGATCCCTCCTCTATTGCTCTCCCTGAGGTTTCTCCCATGTTCCCTTTAAACTGTGGGTTTTCTCCAGAAGTTTTTCCTTGTACGATGTGAGGGTCTAAGGACAGAGGGTCTGAGGACAGAGGGTCTGAGGACAGAGGGTCTAAGGACAGAGGGTCTAAGGACAGAGGGTCTGAGGACAGAGGGTCTCAAGGACATAGGGGCTAGGGTCTAAAGGACAGAGGGTCTAGGGACAGAGGTCTGAGGACAGAGGGTCTAGAGGACAGAGGGTACTAAGGGACAGAGGGTCTAGAGGACAGAGGGTTTCAGGATGAGGTCTAGGACAGAGGGTCCTAAGGACTAGAGGGTCTAAGGACAGAGGGTCTGAGGACAGTAGGTCTAAGACTAGAGGGTCTGAGGACAGGGTTAGGGTCATGCCTAGGACAGAGGGTCTAAGCCAGAGGTGTCAAGGAAGGACTAGAGGTAAGGACAAGGGAGGACAGAGGGTCTGAGGACAGAGGGTCTATAGGGTACAGATGGTCTAAGGACAGAGGGTCTATATTAGGTCTGAGGACAGAGGGTCTTAAGGACAGAGGGTCTGAGGACAGAGGGTCTAAGGACAGAGGGTCGAGGACAGAGGTCTAAGGACAGAGGGTCTGAGGACTAGAGGGTCTAAGGACAGAGGGTCTGAGGACAGAGGGTCTAAGGACAGAGGGTCTAAGGACAGAGGGTCTAAGGACAGAGGGTCTAAGGACAGAGGGTCTAAGGACAGAGGGTCTGAGGACAGAGGGTCTAAGGACAGAGGGTCTGAGGACAGAGGGTCTAGGGTCAGATGGTCTAAGGACAGAGGGTCTAAGGATAGAGGGTCTAAGGACAGAGGGTCTGAGGACAGAGGGTCTGAGGACAGAGGGTCTAAGGACAGAGGGTCTAAGGATAGAGGGTGTCGTATTTCTCATACTGATATTCTGAACAATCTGTGTTGTTGTATTTGCTGTAAAGTGTCTCTACTGTAGGCTATTTTTATTATATGTTCAGCACTTTGGCTCCACAAAAAATCCTTTATAAATGTGCTATATAAATAAAACTTGATTTGATTTGATTTGATAAGAGGAGCTGTGATCTCTGTGTGCTAACTGCTAACAGCTAACGGCTGATTTTTTCTGGTTGAACGTCAGTGACGGCAGGCTGAGATCCTCACCATTACATTACATATACATTACATTGCATTTAGCTGACGCTTTTATCCAAAGCGACTTACAATAAGTACATTCGACCAACAAAATACAAACTTGAAGAAAACAGAATCATAAAGTACATCAGGCTTCATAGAGCCAAAACATTTCAAGTGCTACTCAACTGGCTTTAGATAAGCCAGTCCTTTGTTAGTATATAAGTGCTTTGTTAATAGTTCTATCGCTCGAAGTGGAGTCGAAAGAGATGAGTTTTCAGTCTGGAAGGTGTGTAAGCTATCTGCCGTCCTGATGTCAATGGGGAGCTCATTCCACCATCTTGGAGCCAGGATAGCAAACCCACGTGTTTCTGCTGATGGGAACTTGGGTCCCCCTCGCAGCGAGGGTGCAGCGAGCCGTTTGGCTGATGCAGAGCGTAGTGCACGCGCTGGGGTGTACGGTTTAACCAAGTCCTGGATGTAGGAAGGGCCAGATCCATTCACAGCATGGTACGCAAGTATCAGTGTCTTGAAGTGGATTCTAGCAGTTACCGGAAGCCAGTGAAGGGAGCGGAGGAGCGGAGTGGTGTGGGAACATTTAGGAAGGTTGAAGACCAGACGAGCCGCTGCATTCTGGATGAGCTGCAGAGGTCGGATGGCACATGCAGGTAGACCAGCCAGGAGGGAGTTGCAGTAGTCTAGGCGTGAGATGACGAGAGCTGATTGGCTTCCGCGAGAACGCGTCATGTGAATTTAACGCTCGAGTTAAAAAAATTAAACTCTCGCGTTTGACGCCGCACCGTTCAATCGCGTGATTCGCGCCGCGTCCACCGCTTCATGTTCGCCGTCGGAGCGAATTCGCGTCTGTCTGCGTCTCTGCATTGACTTTACATGTAATCGCGCCGCCCCCAAACATCGCATCGCGTCCGGTGTGAACGCAGCACACCAGTGTGTGTGTGCAAGTGTGTGTGTGTGTTGTGAGTTAAACAGTGTGAGAGAGTGTGTGTGTGCGAGAGAGAGAGAGAGAGAGCGAGAGAGAGAGTGTGTGTGTGTGTGTGTGTGTGTGTGTGTGTGTGTGTGTGTGTGTGTGTGTGCTTACTTGGCCTCGTTGCTCTGGATTAACTTGTCTTTCTGTTGAATCTGGTTGTTCAGTTCGATCACATTCTGAGCCAGCTGCAGGACGGACACACACACACACAGATATTCAAAGGTGCAGATTAGCTACAGTATAGATATATATTGAAAATATTATCTTATGGCTTGTGTGTGAGTGAGTGTGTACCTCTCCTCTCTTCTTGTGCAGCTCTGTCAGCTCCTCCTGGTGTCTGATCCTCATCAGAGACACCTCCTGCTGCAGCGACCCGTCTGACCTGAGGGGACCAATAGGGTTAGACCCGTCTGACCTGAGGGGACCAATAGAGTTAGACCCGTCTGACCTGAGGGGACCAATAGGGTTAGACCCGTCTGACCTGAGGGGACCAATAGAGTTAGACCCGTCTGACCTGAGGGGACCAATAGGGTTAGACCCGTCTGACCTGAGGGGACCAATAGGGTTAGACCCGTCTGACCTGAGGGGACCAATAGGGTTAGACCCGTCTGACCTGAGGGGACCAATAGGGTTAGACCCGTCTGACCTGAGGGGACCAATAGGGTTAGACCCGTCTGACCTGAGGGGACCAATAGGGTTAGACCCGTCTGACCTGAGGGGACCAATAGGGTTAGACCCGTCTGACCTGAGGGGACCAATAGGGTTAGACCCGTCTGACCTGAGGGGACCAATAGGGTTAGACCCGTCTGACCTGAGGGGACCAATAGGGTTAGACCCGTCTGACCTGAGGGGACCAATAGGGTTAGACCCGTCTGACCTGAGCGGACCAATAGGGTTAGACCCGTCTGACCTGAGGGGACCAATAGGGTTAGACCCGTCTGACCTGAGGGGACCAATAGGGTTAGACCCGTCTGACCTGAGGGGACCAATAGGGTTAGACCCGTCTGACCTGAGGGGACCAATAGGGTTAGACCCGTCTGACCTAAGGGGACCAATAGGGTTAGACCCGTCTGACCTGAGGGGACAAATAGGGTTAAAGCTGTCTAACCTGAGGGGACCAATAGGGTTAAAGCTGTCTGACCTGAGGGGACCAATAGGGTTAAAGCTGTCTGACCTGAGGGGACCAATAGGGTTAAAGCTGTCTGACCTGAGGGGACCAATAAGGTTAGACCCGTCTGACCTGAGGGGACCAATAGGGTTAGACCCGTCTGACCTGAGGGGACCAATAGGGTTAAAGCTGTCTGACCTGAGGGGACCAATAGGGTTAAAGCTGTCTGACCTGAGGGGACCAATAGGGTTAAAGCTGTCTGACCTGAGGGGACCAATAGGGTTAAAGCTGTCTGACCTGAGGGGACCAATAGAACAGTGCAACTCCTTCCTCTCGTTTTTCCAAACCAACATCAGCAACATTTACAGCAATCTGACACCCTCATCAGCACCCCCATCTCCCCTCCTGGCTCCCCCCCCTTCACCTCACAGCCCCTGTCCCACTTCTCCCCTGTGACCCCCATGCAACTGTCCCACTTCATGACTGGAATTAACTCCACCTGCACACTTGACCCAATGCCCTCCAAATGTGTTAAAGAGAGCCTCCCTGCCATCTCCCAACTCATCGCCACCATCATTAACTCCTCCCTCAGATCTGGATCAGTTACATTACATTGCATTTAGCTGACGCTTTTATCCAAAGCGACTTACAATAAGTACATTCGACCAGGAAGACACAACCTTGAAGAAAACAGAATCATATAAGTACATCAGGTTTCATAGAGCCAAACATTTCAAGTGCTACTCAACTGGCTTTAGATAAGCCAGTCCTTTATTAGTATATAAGTGCTTTGTTAATAGTTCTATCGCTCGAAGTGGAGTCGAAAGAGATGAGTTTTCAGTTTGCGCCGGAAGATGTGCAAGCTATCTGCTGTCCTGATGTCAATGGGGAGCTTGTCAGTTCCCCCCTCTCTCAAACTGGCTGCTGTCACACCCATTCTCAGAAGACCTGGACTCACACCTGACATCATGTCCAACTTCCGGCCCATCTCAAATCTCCCCTTTCTGTCAAAAATACTAGAACGTGTCGTTGCCTCACAACTTAAAGCCCACCTCAGCTCCAATGATCTCTTTGAGCCATTTCAATCCGGTTTCCGATGAAAACACAGCACAGAAACAGCTCTTCTCAAAATCACAAACGACCTCCTCCTCTCCTCTGACTCCGGCAACCTGAACATCCTCCTCCTCCTCGACCTTACCGCAGCATTCGACACCATCAACCACGCCATCCTGCTGTCCCTCCTCGAATCATCACCGACACTGCACTCTCCTGGCTGAAATCCTACCTCACCGACAGACATCGGTTTATCAACAACTGCACCTCCTCCACTGCTCCTCTGTCCCAAGGCGTCCCCCAGGGTTCGGTGCTTGGCCCCCTCCTCTTCATCCTCTACATGCTCTCCCTTGGCAAAATCATTCGTCGCCACAACCTTCAATTTCACTGCTACGCCGATGACATCCAACTTTATATCTCAACAAAAACCATCCCCCCCACAACACACTCCACTCTCACCAACTGTCTCTCAGAAATAAAAGCATGGATGCAAACAAACTATCTCCAACTGAACAGTGCCAAATCAGACATCGGCCCCCCATCCCGTATCAAAGACATCCAGAATTTCAACTTCACCATTGACAGCCACACTCTATCTCCCCCCCTCACACTCTATCTCCCCCCCCCTCACATCCGCAACCTCGGAGTCATCTTCGACAGTCAGCTCAAATTCAACCACCACATCAATCACATCACCAGCACCGCCTTTTTCCACCTCAAAAACATTGCCCGTCTCCGCCCATCACTCTCCTCCTCTGCTGCTGAGACCCTGATTCATGCATTCATCACGACTCGACTACTGCAATAGCATCCTCTACGGCAGACCATCCAACCTAATCAATAAACTCCAACATATCCAGAACTCTGCTGCCCGCCTCCTCACCCACACCCGCTCCCGAGACCACATCACTCCGTCCTCCAGAACCTCCACTGGCTCCATCCCCACCCGCACCAATCACCTGACCTGGGGGGACAGAGCCTTCTCCGTCGCTGCCCCCTCCCTCTGGAACTCACTCCCCCAACCCATCAGAGACTACACTGACCTCACCACCTTCAAAACACTCTCAAAACACTCACCTCTTCAATCTGGCTTTTAATGTGTGATTGTTTTTGTATTATTTGACTTTAACTTTAACTATATATTTATTTGTTGTTCCTTCCTTTTCTTTTCCCTTCACTATATCTGTAAAGCGTCTTTGAGCACCTGTAAAAGCGCTAACAAATTACATCTATTATTATTATTATTAATAATAGGGTTAAAGCTGTCTGACCTGAGGGGACCAATAGGGTTAAAGCTGTCTGACCTGAGGGGACCAATAGGGTTAAAGCTGTCTGACCTGAGGGGACCAATAGGGTTAAAGCTGTCTGACCTGAGGGGACCAATAGGGTTAAAGTTCATATATTTATGATGTTATTTATATGTATCTATGTCTCAGGGTCCTCACCCGCCCTCGTGTCCTCGCTGCAGCTCATATTTATCAGCCTGATATCTTTCAGAGAGGACGGCCTGCAGGTCTGACTTCTCCAGGAGACGAGTATCTGAGGGACAGACAGGTGAGAGACAGACAGGTTACAGACAGGTGAGAGACAGAGAGGTGAGAGACAGACATGTGAGAGACAGACAGGTGAGAGACAGACAGGTGAGAGACAGACAGGTGAGAGACAGACAGGTGAGAGACAGACAGGTGAGAGACAGAGAGGTGAGAGACAGAGATGTGAGAGACAGAGAGGTGAGACACAGAGATGTGAGAGACAGAGATGTGAGAGACAGAGATGTGAGAGACAGAGAGGTGAGAGACAGAGAGGTGAGAGACAGACAGGTTACAGACAGGTGAGAGACAGAGAGGTGAGAGACAGACATGTGAGAGACAGACAGGTGAGAGACAGACAGGTGAGAGACAGACAGGTGAGAGACAGACAGGTGAGAGACAGACAGGTGAGAGACAGAGAGGTGAGAGACAGAGATGTGAGAGACAGAGATGTGAGAGACAGAGATGTGAGAGACAGAGATGTGAGAGACAGAGAGGTGAGAGAGAGACAGGTGAGACAGAGATGTGAGAGACAGACAGGTGAGAGACAGAGAGGTGAGAGACAGAGAGGTGAGAGAGAGACAGGTGAGACAGAGATGTGAGAGACAGACAGGTGAGAGACAGAGAGGTGAGAGACAGAGAGGTGAGAGACAGAGAGGTGAGAGACAGAGGGACATAGAGGTGAGAGACAGAGAGGTGCGAGACAGAGAGACAGAGAGGTGAGAGACAGAGAGGTGAGAGACAGACAGGTGAGAAACAGAGATGTGAGAGACAGACAGGTGAGAGACAGACAGGTGAGAGACAGAGAGGTGAGAGACAGAGAGGTGAGAGACAGAGATGTGAGAGACAGAGATGTGAGAGACAGAGATGTGAGAGACAGAGATGTGAGAGACAGAGAGGTGAGAGACAGAGAGGTGAGAGACAGAGAGGTGAGAGACAGAGATGTGAGAGACAGAGAGGTGAGAGACAGAGATGTGAGAGACAGACAGGTGAGAGAGAGACAGGTGAGAGACAGACAGGAGACATACAGGTGAGAGACAGACAGATGAGAGAGAGACAGACAGGTGAGAGACAGACAGGTTAGAGAAAGACAGACAGGTGAGAGAGAGATGGACAGGTTAGAGAGAGACATACAGGTGAGACAGAGATGTGAGAGACAGAGAGGTGAGAGACAGAGAGGTGAGAGAGAGACAGGTGAGAGACAGACAGGTGAGAGAGAGACAGGTGAGAGAGAGACAGGAGACATACAGGTGAGAGAGAGACAGGTGAGAGAGAGACAGGAGACATACAGGTGAGAGACAGACAGATGACAGAGAGATGGACAGGTGAGAGAGAGATGGACAGGTTAGAGAGAGACAGACAGGAGACATACAGGTGAGAGACAGACAGATGACAGAGAGACAGACAGGTGAGAGAGAGATGGACAGGTTAGAGAGAGACAGACAGGTGAGAGAGAGATGGACAGGTTAGAGAAAGACAGACAGGTGAGAGAGAGATGGACAGGTGAGAGAGAGATGGACAGGTGAGAGAGAGACAGACAGGTTAGAGAGAGACAGACAGGTTAGAGAGAGATGGACAGGTGAGAGAGAGATGGACAGGTTAGAGAAAGACAGACAGGTTAGAGAAAGACAGACAGGTGAGAGAGAGATGGACAGGTGAGAGAAAGACAGACAGGTTAGAGAAAGACAGACAGGTGAGAGAGAGATGGACAGGTGAGAGAGAGACAGACAGGTGAGAGAGAGATGGACAGGTTAGAGAAAGACAGACAGGTTAGAGAGAGACAGACAGGTTAGAGAGAGACAGACAGCTGAGAGACAGACAGGTTAGAGAGAGACAGACAGGTCCTCACACTGGTGGATGAGCTCCTCGAAGGCTTGTCTCTGGACTCGGTCTCTCTGCTTCAGCTGATCGGAGACATGTCTCCTCCACACACACTGCTCCATACCTACCTACACACACACACACACACACACACACACACACACACACACACACACACACACACACACACACAACACACACACACACACACACACACACACACACACACACACACACACACACACACACACACACACACACACACACACACACACACCACACACACACACACACACACACACACACACACACACACAGCACACACACACACACACACACACCACACACACACAACACACACACACACACACACACACACACACACACACACACACACACACACACACACACACACACACACACACACACACACACACGTTAGCTTCCCTCTGTTAGCATGTGATGCTAAAGGAACAACAAACAGGAAGACAGCCGGCTGCTAACATGCTAACCTGCTAACGTGCTAATCTGTGGTTAAAGGACCTCAGTGAGATGATAGGCAGCATGTCGGCTGTTTACCTGTGTGTTTACTTGTTGACAACACACCCGTGACTCGACATGTTGCTAGCGGCTAAGCTAACAACATGTCTAACAACAAAGTTTTAACCGGGTGAATAATGCTAACTGTGTTTAATGTGAACTGAGACCTCCTGCCTGATCCCCGGCGTCCCGCTGCGACTCTCTCAGAAGCTGAACAAACTGAAGAAACGGAAGAAACTGGATCCTGGTTCTGGTTCCTCACTGCAACGTGCCGCCATTTTGGCTCAAACACACACTTCCGGGATAGTCACGTGGTCCTGACGACGACATTTTTTCTCCAACTTTATTGTACAATTTTTCAAAAACATCAGAAAAAGGCACATCAGTGATCATTTAGTTCAAATTGATAGATACATATATATATATATATATATATATATGTATATATACATAAGGAGGCGTGTGGCGTAGTGAGTTGTCCGTAGGTGCTCGGATCAGGGGGTCACAGGTTCAAACCCCACTGCAGTCAGCATGTCGTTGTGTCCCTGAGACACTTCACCCCAGGGGCGGTTCTAGGGGGGGCCAGTGCCCAACACTGACCTCTGACCCCCCTGTGGCCCCCCTAACAATGAAAAGTTTTTTTTTTTTTTTAAATGTATATTTTCTGGTACTCGGTTTGCCAAAAAACGCAGGATTTTGTTTCTGTAATGTGAGATTGTGCAGACACCCTTATGTAAAGTAGAGATGTAACTGTTCATTTCCTTTATTTTTATATAAATATGGTGTTAGTGCAAACATTGCACTATAACTTAAGCTGAAGCTAACAGTAATAACTATAAGATCTATCTGAAATAAATAAGTGTACTGAAACAAATACCAATAACTGTATTGCATTGTTTTCTTATGCGCAATTACTACATACTGTCTAGTTCTCTTTTTCGTCCTGCATTTATTGTGCCCGCCTCAGAAAATAACTGGCCCCCCAGTGGCCCCCCCCAGTCAAATTGGTCTAGAACCGCCACTGCTTCACCCCAAAGTGCTCCTGTGGGGATTGCCCACAGTATTGAGTATGTAAGTCGCTTTGGATAAAAGCGTCTAACAAGTAACATGTAATGTAATGGGAGAAGGGGGTAAGTTGAGCCAGTGGGTAAGTTAAACCCACCATATGATGAATTGGAAATGGGGGACCCTGATGTAAACAAGACGAAAGTCTTTCTCTGGTCTGCATCCCCTTAACAATTGTATGTTTTGAGCTGTACTGTACTGTACCCAATATACAAGCTGTTAATAAACTTGTCAATCAATTCAATCAATCAATCCCCTGTAACCAGGCAACGCTTTATAGTTGTAATCACGTGACCAGAAATTATGCAAGCTCCTCCCATTTCTCTTTGGCTGTGACAGAGGCAAGGCAAGGCAAGGCAAGTTTATTTATATAGCAACACAAGGCAATTCAAAGTGCTTTACAAAAAATGAAAGACATTAAGAAAATGGCATTTAAAATCAGTCATTAAAAAGAAAAGCTAATAAAATAAACATTAAAAGAAAAAATACATGGATAAAAGTTACAGTGCAGTCTAGATATGAATAGTTCAATTAAAAGCAGAGACAAAAAGAAAAGTCTTTAGTCTGGATAGAAAAGTATTTAGCCTTACAGAGGGTTTTTTCTCAATGTCGAGGGAGCTTGCTTGGTAGGACATGTCTTCCAAGTCACTTCCTTCAGAAGCGAGGCAAGAATCCTTCCTAGCCTCGGAAAACAAAGAATGGTGGAACAGGCTAACAAGTGTACGTCATATGCAAGGCCCCGCCTTAAATGGAGCGAGATTTCCGCCAAAGATTTGGAAATTGAACAGTCCTTCGGCGGCACTCAATGACGTAAATAGTGGCTCTGGAGCAGCCTTCCTCGACATTGAGAAGCACCCTAGGGCAAGTTGAGAGCCACAAGACCACTTTTTTTTAAGAAGTAATATTTTCACTGCCCATCCATCCATCTTCTCCCGCTTATCCGTGGTCGGGTCGCGGAGATATCAGTTCCAGCAGAGAGCCCCAAACTTTCTTTTCCCTGGCGACATCAAACAGCTCTGACTGGGGGATCCCAAGGCGCTCCCAGGCCAGCGAAGAGATATAATCCCTCCACCTGGTCCTAGGTCTACCCCTTGGTCTCTTCCCAGCTGGACGTGCCTGGAACACCTCCCTAGGGAGGCGCCCAGGTGGCATCCTAACTAGGTGCCCGAACCACCTCAACTGGCTCCTTTCGACGCGAAGGAGGAGCGGCTCAACTCCGAGTCCCTCCCTGATGACCGAACTTCTCACCTTATCCCTAAGGGAGACGCCAGCCACCCTGCGGAGAAAACCCATCTCGGCCGCTTGTATCCGCGATCTCGTTCTTTCGGTCATGACCCATCCTTCGTGAGGGTAGGAACGAAAATGGCCCGGTAGACAGAGAGCTTTGCCTTCTGGCTCAGCTCTCTTTTCGTCACAACGGTGCAGTAAAGCGACTGCAGTACCGCTCCCGCTGCTCCGATTCTCCGGCCCATCTCACGCTCCATTGTTCCCTCACTCGCGAACAAGACCCCGATTGATTGAAAAGTTTATTAACAGCTTGTATATTGGGTACAGTAAAGTACAGCTCAAAACATACAATTGTTAAGGGGATGCAGACCAGAGAAAGACTTTCGTCTTGTTTACATCAGGGTCCCCCATTTCCAATTAATCATAAAGGATGAGATACTTGAACTCCTTCACTTGGGGTAAGGACTCATTCCCTACTTGGAGTGGACAGTCCATCGGTTTCCTGCTGAGAACCATGGCCTCAGATTTGGAGGTGCTGATCCTCATCCCAGCTGCTTCACACTCGGTTGCGAACCGATCCAGTGAGTGCTGAAGGTCGCAGACCGATGAAGCCATACAAACATGTGTGAAAGAATGGCTCGTTCTAAAGAGCTCACTGAATTCAACGTGGTTCTGTAACAGAGTGCCACTGTTGCAACAGGTCAGTTCATTTCTTCTCTCCTAGATATTCCACGATCAACTGTGAGTGGTGTTATTGCAAAGTGGAAACGTTTAGGAACCACAGCAACCAGGAAGAGATATCAGAAATGTCTAATATTACAGTTTAACAACTGGAACAACATCATCGGTTTGTGAGAATGAAAAACAAGATCAAATATGAACATGAAAACATTGAAGTGTAAATACACTTTTTTTTTAGACAAAGAAAAACCCTTCATATGTAAAAACAGAAACTTTAATCACAGACAAAAATAAACTTATTCTGGAGCTCTTTTAATTAAAACACAGCATGACAGAATATCAGTTAATTCATTTTGGTTCGATATGAAACTATCCAAATAATAGTGTTGGAGGATCCTTTATCAATTACTAACTAATCAAAAGTACTAATCCATCAATAAACACAGCTCTGTTGCATTATGGGAAACGTGTTCTCCAGGGAATCAAAGCTCTGTTGCATTATGGGAAACGTAGGCCCCAGGTAATCAGAGTCCTGACGCATTGTGGGAAGTAGGCTCCATGTAGGGCTGTGATTGGTTGATTTCCTCTCCCTGCAGCACGGTCATTCATTAAAACGTGTTTTCACATTAACTTCATAAACTATTAAAGTGTAAATCATCTTGAGGCACGACGCAGGTATAAAGGTTATACAGTTTACAACGATTTAAAAACCAGACTTTATAGAAAATATTTTTGTATTAAACGACAGATTAGCGCTGAACGATAATCAGAAGTCATCGTATTCACCACTTTGAAATGGCAACATAAATAACTTTTAAAATATAAACTCATATCGGTACAAATCCGCTCATTTTAATATGTTTTAAACTAAACGAGAAATTACTAACATAACAGTTCCTCAATCAAATGGTAAACTGCAGCGTCAAATGATTACGTATTGTTCTACAAATAATTGTTTTATTATCAATTTAGTTTTCTTATGTATTAATAAATCAATGATAGCAGCCAAACTAAACTAATATTATTATCAAAATGATCCTGATTAGTTTATATTTAAAGATAATCCCGATAACAGTCATATCATAAAGGTAATCCAAATTACAGTTATATATTAGAGACAATCCAGATTATAGTTATATATTAGAGTTATTCCAGATTAATATGATCAGATCTCCTCAGGCCTGGTCTGGTTTGGGGTTCTCTGAGACGTTCAGGGACTCCACAGAAAATTGTTCGTCTGGGAGCAGCTCCTCCTTATCACTGCAGGGAGAAACACATTTCATTATACCACAGCCTATTTGATCACATACAGAACTATATATATATATATATATATATATGTATATGTTACCTGAAGGAGGACAGGCGGCGGGCCAGACGGTGGCGTCTCAGAGTGATGATGACGAGGGTCGTCAGCAGCAGAGTGGAGACGACTGCCAGCGTGACGAAGAGGAAGACGGCTGAGAGGAGGAAGATCATAAACATCCTGTCAGAGACATCAACATGAGGGGAGAGCACTGTTACACTGGGGCGTCCAGGGGTATGACCCAACACGGTATTGACGGACACAAGTATTCTGAAGTACGGGTATCTCGCAACACAGGGATCTTGAAACACGGGGATCTTGAAACACCTGGATCTTGAAACACGGGGATCTTGAAACACGGGGATCTTGAAACACTTGGATCTTGAAACACCTGGATCTTGAAACACGGGGATCTTGAAACACGGGGATCTTGAAACACCTGGATCTTGAAACACGGGATCTTGAAACACGGATCTTGAAACACGGGGATCTTGAAACACGGTGATCTTGAAACACCTGGATCTTGAAACACGGGATCTTGAAACACGGGATCTTGAAACACGGGATCTTGAAACACGGGATCTTGAAACACGGTGATCTTGAAACACGGGGATCTTGAAACATGGGGATTTTGAAACACCTGGATCTTGAAACACGGGGATCTTGAAACACCTGGATCTTGAAACACGGGGATCTTGAAACACCTGGATCTTGAAACACGGGGATCTTGAAACACGGGATCTTGAAACACGGGATCTTGAAACACGGGATCTTGAAACACGGGATCTTGAAACACGGTGATCTTGAAACACGGGGATCTTGAAACATGGGGATTTTGAAACACCTGGATCTTGAAACACGGGGATCTTGAAACACCTGGATCTTGAAACACGGGGATCTTGAAACACCTGGATCTTGAAACACGGGGATCTTGAAACACGGGGATCTTGAAACACCTGGATCTTGAAACACGGGATCTTGAAACACGGGATCTTGAAACACGGGGATCTTGAAACACGGTATCTTGAAACACCTGGATCTTGAAACACGGGATCTTGAAACACGGGATCTTGAAACACGGGATCTTGAAACACGGGATCTTGAAACACGGGGATCTTGAAACACTTGGATCTTGAAACACGGTATCTTGAAACACCTGGATCTTGAAACACCTGGATCTTGAAACACCTGGATCTTGAAACACCTGGATCTTGAAAACACCTGGATCAGATTTTGAAATTCCATTTTTTGGGATCCAGGATCAGACAAGTCTGCCAGATTTTGTCCCTGGAGTTCAAAGCAATTCAGGATAGGATCACCCGGATCCAGATTCAGACTTTTCAAGATGACTAGAACCTGAATATCAGTGCTTTAATCCTACCGAGCGCCATCTAGTGGATATGAAAAAGAATACAAGGAAGAGAAGAGACCACATTGCAGAGACAGCTATTGTTTGATTACTTTTGAAAGGTGATGACAGATGATGGACTTTTTTTGTTGAAGATATTGTTACTTTAATCTAAATTACATTTGTGATTGACAATCTTTGTTGTGATCATTTTATGAGCATAAACATATATGTCATCAACGGTGGTTGAAAACAAAATAGGCCACCACAAACGTGAGCAAAAAGGAAAAATTAAATTGTATCTTGCAGATGGATGATTGTAACGTTAAGGAGAAGCTCTTCGTCCGTCAGAATGTTGTTAAATATTTCATGATTAATCAGTGTTCCTCTTTAGATCTCTAACTGAAGGAACAATAACGAACACAGGAAGTTTAATGACGTGTTCTTTAGACTTTACAGTAAAAACTGACCTGCAGTCCAGCGGTCACGAGCTTTCCCACGAGTGTCAAAGGAACCTGCACAACAAAACACAGCGTCACACACACACACACACACACACACACACACACACACGTATCAGAAAGGGTTGAAAGGGTTACCTGTGTTCTGGCAGCGGGTCATGCAGTCCTCCAGGCTGCTGTAGCGGTTCCTGTTTCCTCGGCACCCCCCATAGAGGAAGGGCTGGCAGCTGGCGGTGTTCAGGTCGTAGTAAAACATGGGGAAGGCCGCGCGGCAGGGCCCGGGGTCAGAGGTCACCGTACAGGCCTCTGAGTCTACAAACAGAATGATGACTGGGGTCAGAGGTCACCGTACAGGCCTCACACCTGAAGAATAAAAGGTGTGCAGACCTCCGACAGGTATTTGAAACATGGTGACATACCTTTATCAGCTGCAGGGGGCGGGGCTTTCCTTGAGGATGGCAGCACTCTGACTGCAGAGAGACAAGAGTCCATTAACAACAACAACAACTTACCTGTGCAGGTACAGACAGATGTGTCTCACCTGTACAGGTACAGACAGGTGTCTCTCACCTGTGCAGGTACAGACAGATGTGTCTCACCTGTACAGCTACAGACAGGTGTCTCTCCCCTGTGCAGGTACAGACAGGTGTGTCTCACCTGTGCAGGTACAGACAGGTGTGTCTCACCTGTGCAGGTACAGACAGTACGGACAGGTGTCTCACCTGTACAGCTACAGACAGGTGTCTCTCACCTGTGCAGGTACAGACAGACAGGTGTGTCTCACCTGTGCAGGTACAGACACAGACAGGTGTGTCTCACCTGTACAGGTACAGACACAGACAGGTGTGTCTCACCTGTACAGGTACAGACACAGACAGGTGTGTCTCACCTGTACAGGTACAGACACAGACAGGTGTGTCTCACCTGTACAGGTACAGACAGTACGGACAGGTGTCTCTCACCTGTGCAGGTACAGACAGTACGGACAGGTGTCTCTCCCCTGTGCAGGTACAGACAGGTGTGTCTCACCTGTGCAGGTACAGACAGTACGGACAGGTGTCTCTCACCTGTACAGGTACAGACAGGTGTGTCTCACCTGTGCAGGTACAGACAGTACGGACAGGTGTCTCTCACCTGTACAGGTACAGACAGTACGGACAGGTGTCTCTCACCTGTACAGGTACAGACAGGTGTGTCTCACTTGTGCAGGTACAGACAGTACGGACAGGTGTCTCTCACCTGTGCAGGTGTCCATGCAGTGCTGCTTGGTCTCGTAGTTGTTCTTGTTGCCCTGGCAGCCTCCGTAGATGAAGGTTTGGCAGCTTCCCGTCTCTCGGCTGTAGAACCAGTTCTGAAATGCCGCTCTGCAGGGACCCGTCTCCGGATCTGCCCCGCAGCGCTCTGATTGGACGACACACACTCGCCTTTACTGTCTGATCTTCAGGTGCTCACAGATAAACTTTATTTAAATAAATCTGAGGTCTGAACCAGGAGAGCAAACATACCAGCGAAGTGTTCAGCAGACATTTCTGTAGAAGAAGAAGAGCGGGTCACTGGAATACACATTACACAACAATACGCAACACTAATACACACATTACACAATAATAATAATACACACATTACACAACAATAATACACACATTACACAATAATAATACACACATTACACAACAATAATACACACATTACACAACAATAATACACAGTAGTACACACATACCTTTCTCCTGAGGGAGGGCCGACTCCGAGTCTTCAGACACATCTGAGAGACAGACAGACAGGTGAGAGACAGGCAGAGAGACAGACAGGTGAGAGACAGACAGGTGAGAGACAGGTGAGAGACAGCAGAGAGACAGACAGGTGAGAGACAGACAGGTGAGAGACAGGTGAGAGACAGACAGGTGAGAGACAGACAGAGAGACAGACAGGTGAGAGACAGACAGGTGAGAGACAGGTGAGAGACAGACAGGTGAGAGAGACAGACAGGTGAATTTCAG